TTTTATAACAGAAAATGTCGTAAATTAATAGCTCACCTGATATAGCACTATATATCACCTGAAAAATCTACCAGTATCGGTTGGTTAATTATGATTTTATTGTCAATCTAGCTGGAGAATTATACATTGTATCGGAACTGATTCCAAAAGCAAAAATGTAGATGAGAAAAATGTCATAATTCCCCTAATTAGAAGAAGGTTAAAACTGTTTGATCATATAATCAGATGTTTTTTGTATAGATCCTACAAGGACACCTTCTCTATCAAAAAGTAAGCATGAGAGAATTGTCTTGGAGAGAAAAAAATGGTAAAGTTGTGTGGACAAGTGCATGGATCTTTTTGCGATTACGTAACTAACAAAGAAAGCAAACATTGTTCAAACACTGACCTGAATAATAAAATCATATATGATGCATATACTTGACACGAGTGGGGACACCACGGAGTTATTTCGTCGAAATCATGAACGCTTTAAGTAAACAAATACATTGAAGCGCCGTATGTATTTATATGAAGCTACAAATATGAGACTGTGTAATTTAACAGACGTAGATAGTTTAGCCTATCGTCCGGTTTACTTCCTCCCCGGTCTTTTGAACAGAAGTGGATGTTTATCCTTTGTTTCCTGTTTAGAATTGGGTTTCTGGTTCCTTCGAAAGTCTTTCCATTCGCTTTAATTTACAGTAGCCCCGACCTCTTGGTGTCATTATCGTCTTGTTTTGAATGAATTGATTAAGAAAAGTAAACAGAAACTTGAACTGATATTATTATGCATTCTACCATATTTGGCAGCGACATTAGTGATAAAAAGAGACATCTGGAACGAGTTTATCAGAAAATAACTTTTTTTTTTTCCAAGAGAGAGAAAGTGGCCTAGTTTGACGGATTGGTTGAATTGAATGAGGTTAAAATCCTGAAAGATACCGCTCAAAGAAACAACCTCAGGTTTAGGTTGAAGGGTTATCTATCTGTCTATCTGGATAGCTACCGAGATTGTTAGCGGAAAATGAACGCTGAAATCATTGAGGATGCAAGAGGCAAGTAGAAAAACAAAAGAATAAAAAGGATTCGTGAGAGCTTGTTGCTACACATCGACTTGAAGATTTAAAATATTTGTTTTATTTCCCTTATCGAGATGACGTTACATCTACACCCAGCCCAACTTCTGTAGATGTCTGCTTACCTGGCACTTTTTAACTATTTATACAGGGATATGACAAAGATCAATGCAGCCCTCCCTTTTTAAAAAGAAAACTTCATTCAACGAATTAAATAATTCAATAATATTTTATAATACATATAAAAATTTGGCGGCTTTGTCATTTAGTATCAATGTGAACAAATATCATGTCGCACGATAAATTGTCAACACAAGAAATATTTGATACTAGCAGCATGGCCCGGCGTTGCTCGTGCTTGATTAAAAAATCGTACGACTCTTACAGCAATCGCTATCATATTTCTGCCCTTCCTTGCCTTTAAAGGAGTGCTCTTTGCCGTGCTGATGTTGCTACATGCCTTACTTCTTGCCTATCTCACACTGCGATTTTTTCTAAGCTCTATTCTAAACATTAAATCTGTTACGAAAAAAGAACTAAACTAAATGAAAAAAGAATGTTAACAACAAATACTTTTTCACACCCAACCCAGTTTTGCGGAATCAGAATCAACGTTGAGTTTAATCAAGCGAATCTGCCAATTGGACTAAAGAGCCATGCAGATTTAAATTTTTACCACTTGTGACGAATGCAGCTATCGATATTTTGCATGCTAGCATGCTAGTTAACATTCGTGTCAGTCAGCTGTTGGCTCTCACGCTTGCTAATAGAATCTTCCTGCCTATTCGTGGCAGCCAGCTATAGACTCTCACTCTGGTCAGTAGAAATGGCCGCCAACTACATGAAAACTGCCGTAGAAGCATGAAAAAATCGATTATTTCCACTATCGATGGTAGTTGAGAAATGCAAGGTCAGTCTTGGCCTTCCCGCTAACTTGGAGCATGTGCATGTAAATTTTGGTGCAAATCCGTCGAAAATTGCGGCCGTGCATTCGTTACACACATACACACACGCACACATCCTGCCTTTTATAGACAGAGATACGAAACAAAAATATATTTCATTTTTTACTTTTTGGAAAATAATTTATAACAAGAAATAAAAGAGAAGATTATTATATTTTTTTTATAAATATCGTATTAATTTTATGTTTCTCAAGTATCTTTTTATTTTAATTTCAAGATTCAATTTACAATTAATATTTGCAATATACAAAATACATCGCTATATTTCAAACCGAATTTGAATTGACTGGAAACATTTACTATTCTGATTATCAAAACAAAAATACAACATAAACGCTGTAAATAAGACTATAAAGCCAAATATCTAAAATCCAATGAATTATTTGATTTCTTGACATATTTAAAATTGCTTCATATTTAAATAAAATTATTAGAAAAATAATTTTATTTAAATATGCAGTAATTTTAAATATTTATGCAATCAAATAATTCATTGAATTTTAGATATTTGGCTTTAGAATCTTATTTACAAAGATGCTTGTTAAGGAAATATTAGCAACCTACCAATAAAATTTTAAAATTTACTATAGTTATCGATCGTACTTTCTAATAATATTGTATAGCGACGTCGGTATTTGCAAATATCGATACCTTTATACATACATGAAATAAATTAAAAATTATTTTTAAAATACTTGGGTCGTTGAATAGTAATGATTATTTAGTTTTAATAAATACAGTTTTAATTTAATAAATTTACAAAGACCTTCTAAAAACGAAATATTTAAAACATAATTTAATTTTCGAATATAATAAGACCTGCAAGTTTTATAAAAATCTGACATTTACCTGATCTTTGAAGAATTTCAAAATTACTGTTTTTCACCACAAAACGTCACTTAAATTTCCCGTTCAAATTTATTGTCCCAGAAAACAATTGGCAGCTGAAAGATTTTTAACCAAAATTTCAAAGCTTCTAAAAAGGATAAAAAAAATATTGTTACCTCAAAAATCTTTTAATGTTTAATCTTAATAACATTTAGTTTCGACTATAAAAATTTGTTTTTATTATGCTTTGTACATTTTATTCGGCATGCGTCTTATTTAGCGAATATTTGAAGGTACCTACTTTTCTGTAAGAAAAGACAAAAATATTGCGTAATTTACGCTTGAAAGTCAGTATTGAAAGTCAACTATTTCTTTCTGTAAACCAGTCATTCATTACTCACAATTTATGTCATTAACAAATTTTTATTTTTAACCGATCAGAGCAGCATTTATAAGACCCAGATTTAGTATTTATTTTTATAATAAAATACAAAAATTTAGTACAAGGTCAAAAATGGATAAGAGTTGGCCATCGCTATATTACTTAACTTGATTCCATTGACCCATTCATATATATTACTATCACCGTAACTTCACAAAAACTTTTGAATCAAGCGGCAGACAAAATAATGCTATAATTTATTTATGAAGCAGTCTCATCTATACTGTTTTCTTAGGCGATGAGTTAAAAGCATTTAACAAATATGTACAACTAAATCGTTAAGATCACACAATAATTATACAAGGGAAGCAATTTTGAGCCAAATATAGTTTACCATTGAACCAGAGAAAGCAAATGTGAAGTATACTTAGCTTGAATATGTTTTTTTAAATAAAAAAAAGGAATATAAGTTCAATTTCTTTCGGAGACATATCTTTAATGAGAGTATTGATCTTTAGGCTGGTAGAAATTAATTCATTGTTTAATAAACGCAACAGAAGAGATGACTATTCAAATAAGTGTAAGGACTAAATATAATATTCATAGTAGGTACGGTGGAATAATGGATAGCGTCTCGGATTGAGGAATCGGAGAGCCGAGTTCGAATTCCAGTTGAATCCGTTACATTCACTTACGTGAAAGGTATTGAATATCTTCTCCCTCCAGCTATAGGTAACTAGCAGGACAGACTGGTCTACCGGAGAAAGAAATGGCAACCTACTGCGGGAAAAATCTGCCTTATCAGTCATGTATCGAAAGATACATGATCGCCTAAGCGTGTATCACGTATAGCACATAACTGAGTAGGTGCCTCCAGTAATTCACAGTACCTAAGCTTTACAAAGAATTTTTATAAATGAAGAAGTTTTCATTTTCATTTTAGTTTTAATTGAAAGCTAAAGAATTAAATTAATTGTTTCAAGGTTTTCTAAAAAAAATTCAAAAATATTTTCATTCATTTGTGAATAAGTTTCGAAGGTTTCATTAAAATCCGACAATTATTTGATTTTTGCAAAAAATTTAAAATCAGATCACCGCTAAAACACAAATTGTACATATTACGTCGAATGCTAACGCATAAAAATCAAGATTTTTAACCAAAATTTAGAACGTGCGAGAAAAATTTTGTTTTTATTCATTTTGGAGCCTTTTCTTCATCATGCTTTGCTTTTTTTTCAGCGAATTAGTGCATGTAGCTAATTTATAATGATTTGAGAAAACTTTGAACAAAAATTATAAGTTTACCTTTTCGTCTTTCGTGAAAATCGGACCTATGTATACCTTTCTATTGTTTGTCAAAACGGCAAAATTCATTATTAAATAACTTGAAAAAGGTTTATATGCTGCACAGAAAAACAAAACAATTAATGTCCTAGAATAATCTTGGAGCAAAAAATCATGATTTGCTTTGAAACAATACTTTATGTTTTGGATACAAAAATATATTAATTGGTTCGTTTTTTTTTACGGCTTATCAACCCTTTTCAGGTTATTTAAACTTTTAGATTTTAAGAATTTTTAGATAATAATGATTTAATTTTACATGTCTCACTAATTAACCCATAGATGGAGCAGAACAGGTGAATCCATACCTTTCCAAAGGGTTTTTGCGCGTAAAAGAATATAACGACCCCAACTGGAATTAGAACACGGCTTTCCGATTCATAATTCCGAGCCATTATTCTTATACCATCCGCACATAGAAGCTTTCAGCACCTAGTATTACCAAGCGGTCACCCATTTAGTTACTAATCACGCTCGACGTTGTTTAACTTCGATGATCGTACGGGAGCTGGTGTTTCAGCGTGATGTACCTTAAGCACATGAAGTTAAAGTCAGCAGACATGAATCTCATCGACAGATGCACATTTCTGAAATCGAGTAATTGCAAAAGCAGTCTTGTTTGCCTTTAAGTGTGAGTCCATCTCATACAAAATGTGATATGTTCGAGTCGGAACCCAAGAATACATGGGCCAAGACAAGAATTGCTGAAGAGTCGGACCCTGAACTAATACCAATCAAGTTAAATGAATGTTTCTTCATTGAGACTTAGTGCCATGATCAACTATTGGACCTTAAACTCAACCCAGACCTCAAGTGGAACTCGCATATACGATCCGTCCCTAAAGATGCTGGAAAAATGGTCGGTTTCCCGTACCCCTATAATAAGTACCTGACGGCTCGTGTTGTCTTCTAACTTTACAAGAGTCAGATCAGACCTACTACTAGTATCATATTTAGGAAGGATCGTCCTGGTTTTCAGTTTTCCTGTCTCGAGTGACTCTAAAACTGTCTCTGCGTTCTTTATGGGTGACAAATTATTTTCCACACGATATCCCGTTTCTCAAAGTCGAAACGTCGCAAGCCTCCCACTAATCTATCGCTATTTCCATGGAAAGTGCTCAGACGAACTATATTCTGTAGTTCCACCAGTTCTAGCTTTCAAGGCTGCGAGCCGACATGTTACGCACATTTTAGCGAGCAACCCTAGTTCCCTTCATATTCCATTGGTGAGAAGTTCCACTCAAGCAGCTTCTGCTCGTGAACTACCGTTCTGTGGAACCGATTCCCAAGAGGATGTTTTCCCGGTCGCTGCAATCTTAACCTTTTCAAGTCTTGTCTTCCCGACATATCCGCCTAAACTCTGCCCCTTACTCTGTAACCCTCTACCTAGAGTGGTTCTCGTGCTTGTACAGTGTTAACCCCACTGTAAAAAAAGCTCGTTCTATAATTCTTCTTTTGGTGACGCTTCAGGTGCCAGATAATCAACCTTGTTCGAACTCTCTCGAAGGAGAGATATTGCCTGGGGAGACAAGCCACTGGAAGACGATCACATTATATCAGTTTTAACCGCCCAATCCAAGGAATAGGCAAAGTCAACGCCTGGTGAGGCATCCCTCATTGTTACTGTAACATTTCAAGAGAGGCGCCTACGGTTTCCGAAAGCGACAGTCTTGTTAGAACAATTTTAGCTCAGCAAACAAATACTCTCAAACGTTCTCACTGACTAAAACAATGCCTTCGTTGCGTCCCCTTCCTCACAGTGTACACTTCTCGAAGCGAGAAAAACCATATTATCGTCTTTCTCCCAGAATTAGCCGTTTCCACATTTCTGAATATGATGCGCATATTAATGAAGCTCAACATTAGACATACGTACACTGCACCCAGACGAGTAGAGGGACCACGTATTCCGCCATAATTTAAGTTACTTGTCAGCTTACGGAGGACAAAACAAATGTCTCACGAAACGAACAAGAGTTGGCGATGTCTGATCATATGTAAGATTAAAAACGTTTTAGTCGCCATAAAAATACATACACATATCTGAAAAGGCGATTAAAATTTCCCATATTACATTCAACGCTTTTAGTCCAAATATTTTTCTGTTTTGGTGAATAAGGGGTTTTTCGGGATAATCGAGATATTCATTTTTTATGTCGTGTTAACTTGTTTAAATTTTTTCTTCAATGGGATGTAGAACTTTTGTTCCATCTTAGTAAATTAATTTCCTTTCTTAATTTTACCCCAGCTTCTAGAATGATCAGTAAAATGCTTTTCTCAGTATATTTTATCGTATATGAGGTCCAGTTTTTGTATTTTCCGTAATACTATATTGTGGATAATAGTACAGAGTTTCTGAAAAAGGCCATTTGAAAATATTAGACAACCAGCGAAACTTTCACATTTCAGCTTTTTCTTACGTTAAAAAGTTATATTTTTCTTTGCAAAAAGGGATCTTTATTATTACTGACAGTACAAAACAGAGTACTTAGCAGTTAGTGTCGCTGCCTTTGTCTTGAATAACTGACTCGGTTCGATATGGCATTAAATGGAACAAGGTTCAAATTTTCTCAATGAGATGTTTGTCATTCTTATTGTGAGTAATCTCAAAGTTCTCAGGGATTGCGTGGTTTTCGTTGGAGCATTTATTTCTTCAGTTCCCACCATTGTGGTTCAATTTATTGAGACCAGGACATTGTGCTTTTCAGTCTTCCAAAAGTTGGGCATCTTCATCGACAAGAAAACTTTTTGTTACACGTGATATATGGCAATGAGCATAGCAATATACTTTTCGCTGTTTAGGCTTCCATCAACTTTTACCAATTTACTTCTACTATCGCTTTTGATGAAACTCCTCGCCATTACGCGCCCGCCATTGTTTTTGTGCTGTATCTTGCATTGTTTCTTTCTCACCATGTGTTTTTTTTTTTTTTTACTTATTCTCTTGCATTAGAATGTAACTATTTTGCTTTCGTCACTAAACATTAATTTTTTCCAATTTCCAGTATCACTTGTTAGATGTTCCTTTGGCCACTGCAAATCTTTGCTTGTTAGTTAATGATGGTTTTACTTTTGCTGTTATACATGTTCATGTTGATTTTCGTAATAGTCTGTGTACTTTATCAACGAGAAGCTCACCTTTTAAGACTGCATTTACTCCTCACTTGCCTGGCTGTTAATTTTGTATTGCCTACCGAAACTCTTACAATCCTTCTTTCATCTTTCTTTTCTGACTTTTGTGTGGTCTCCCGGTTTTCTGTTCGCTTAAAACATTTCCAGTAGTACCGAACGTCTGTAGGATCATTCGAACATAGCTTCTGAAAATTTCGATTGAATCCTCTTCCTCTTCAAAGTTAAAACCTTCATTTCACCAGAAATGTTAGCCATGATTTTAGTGTAAGAAAGCAAGCTAATGTCCAAATAAATGACATGCAAAGGCATCTTATACTGATGTTAACTAGATGAAACAATTACTAATTATAAATTTGCATACTATCATGGATTTAGTAACTCAGTTTGATTAACTCAGTAGTTTTCAAGCTGTTTAATTCGCTGCGTGGCAGCTACAAAAACAACTTATTTTACAATGGACCTAACATATGGACAACGACGATGATCTAGTGATAATGGCAACAAAAAGTACACTTATATTTAACTTCAGGAAGAGACAGTTGAAATTTCTGAGGGACATAATGAGGAAAGTGGGCTTGGAAATTTGATACTCCCATTTTGAAGGTAAGAAGGCTACAGGAAAGCAATGCTTAAGCAACCTGGCGAATGGATGGCAGAGCAGGGTTTAGTAGGGATGGCAAAAACACAAAAGATATTAAGAGATACAAAAGACAGGAATATTGTGGAGAGCCATGATCACCAACTTCCTGAAGGGACACGGCACATAGAAGACTACGAAGGGGAAGGTCCACATACACTGCTGATAAAAGGATACTGTTAAACAATTTTAAATTCTTAATAAAAATGAATGCGGATCATCAAAGAATGTAGTTTTCACAAACCTTTTGCACGCCAGTGTATATTGTTGTGTTCCATTAGTGGCGTAAGAGTGTTACGCTTTTTCTCATCCAAGACCCTTTTTTAAGTTGTATTCCTTGAAATTGTCTTCTGAAGATATGACACTGTTCAATATCAACGAAAACAATAATAATTTTGATCCAATGAAAACAGCTGTTTGATTCTGCTAACATGAGAAATGTAGTAACGCCACATAACTCGTTAACTTTTACCATACTGTGAACAGGGCCTATGTTAATTTTATAAGCATAACCAACATTGTATGTGTTGTGGATTCCGAGATGAATTCGGTCTCCAAGGAATGACAAACGCAATAATTAAATATAAGAAATAAAATGTATTTACACAATCATACAAAGAGTAATACTGTTAGTAAATCCAGGAACGCGGTTAGTAGCAAATATAGAGAGATATATAGTCTCGAAGTAGGACTTCCTTAGAGTCTACGTGCTTGTAACTGACTTCTACAAGAGATTACCTCACTCTCTCTCCGTTCGTATATTCTCTCTCTGTCCGTATATCCTCTCTTACTGACTGTCTAACTCTGGATATTTAACGGGAGCAGTCCAGGTACACTGGTAGAGTCCACTTATATGAAAAGGGGAGGACCACATAACAGTATGAAATTTACAAATACATGGAGAATTTACGGTAAACACGAAAGTGTAAAACTTACAAAAAACTTTTGATTCTATTCACTTCAAAAGAATGAATCAGAGTCTTAGGCGACAGGAAAATCGTTTTTTTCTTTTTTGCTTGATGGGCCAGTCTCAACCACTGCACAATATCTGCCGCTGTAGCCGTGGATTTAAAACCGAACGCGAAGAGTCAAATCAACTTGAAAAAGCAACAACAATACAAGTAGAAAAGCTAAGTCCAACACGCTAGAAATAATAACTGCAACAAGGGACTTGTGACGTGATCAAACTTAATAATCACTGGACACAGTGGTTATTGATTACATCATTGGATGGGGAAGTTAAGGAGAAGAGGAAGCAACTCACACGAAAATGTATAGGAGCTTGAACGAGTAGTCATACAATTTTGAATATATTATATAGATAGATATGAACAGATAGATAGATAGATAGATAGATAGATAGGAACACATTGATAAATGGACAGACATGAACAAACAGATAGATAGATAGATAGATAGATAGATAGATAGATAGATAGATAGGAACACATTGATAAATGGACAGACATGAACAAACAGATAGATAGATAGATAGATAGATAGATAGATAGATAGATATGAACAGATAGATATGAACACAGTAATAGCGTAGGATAGATATGATCTCTCTCTCTCTCTTTCTCTCTCTCTTTCTCTCTCTCTCTCTCTCTCTCACACACACACACACTATCTATCTATCTATCTAACTATCTAACTATCTATCTATCTGTTTGCACCGGTTCACTTATTTATCTAGTTGTCGATGGAACAAATAAACCTCTTTTGAGTTGAACCATCTGTTGTTGTCATAAT